TGGCTGGCTCAGAGCGTGTGGGCAAGTCGGGGGCCGAGGGCAGCCGTCTGCGGGAAGCACAGCACATCAACAAGTCGCTGTCGGCCCTGGGGGACGTCATTGCTGCCCTGCGCTCCCGCCAGGGCCACGTGCCTTTCCGCAACTCCAAGCTCACCTACCTCCTGCAGGACTCGCTCAGTGGGGACAGCAAGACCCTCATGGTTGTACAGGTGAGGTTCTCAGGTGGGCCACATGATGGTCCTCAGTGTGGATGGGCTAGGCCAGCACCCAGACCAGGGTACCTCTCAGGTACCCCAGCTGGGCAGGGAAGGGACCCTGGTCCTCAGCAGCTCCAAAGTTAGTGACGTGCATCCCGCCAGCCTCCCCAACAGACCTGGCCACGTGCACCCTATGTGCCTCACAAGTTCCCTTATATCCACCAGGGTCCCCTGGCAGCCTCTGGTGAACATGCCACCCCCCCCCAATTCTGTGGGGGTGTCTGGCTTGGGTGGGGAGTGAATCCTCGTGTGCCCTAGGTGTCCCCTGTGGAGAAGAACACCAGTGAGACGCTCTACTCCCTCAAGTTTGCTGAGAGGGTCCGCTCTGTGGAGCTGGGCCCCGGGTCCCGCAGGGCGGAGCTGGCATCCTGGTCCAGCCAGGAGCATCTGGAGGTACAGGGAGGGCTCATGCCTGTCTCCAGAGCACTGGGTCAGAGTTAGCAGGGGGGACAGGAGGGAGGGGCTGGGAGGGGAAGATGCCAGAGGGGCTGCAGCCAGAACTTGAACCCAAACCCAGTAGCCGCTTTAGTCCAAGTATTTCTTGGCCTCACAGGTACCTATGGGGTCGTCAGCTGGTTGGCGGGTAGACGGGGTGCAGGGTGGCTCAGTAATGATTAGTTCACTTCTTTACGTGTATTATCTCACTTAACTCTCACAATAACTGAAGTGGGGTAGCACCATCATGCCCGTTTTGCAGATGAGGAACCAGTTTCAGGAGGCTGGGAGGGGAGTGGAGGGAAGTAGGTGGTTGGGGGCTCAGGGCCGGCATGGCCCCAGCCCACCTGCTCATCCCTGCCCACAGTGGGAGCCAGCCTGCCAGACGCCACAGCCTTCAGCTCGAGCCCACTCAGCCCCGAGCTCTGGGACCACTAGCCGCCCAGGCTCCATCCGGAGGCGGCTGCAGCCCTCAGGTGAGCCTTTAGGGCATGGGAGGGTGAAAAAAAACTTTTCTTTTTAAGTTTCTGAAATGTTTAGAACCTGATTCACAACCTTCCCTGGTCCTGGGAAGTAGTCAGGGCACACAGTGCTGGGTCCCTTTTACAGATGGGAAATCGAAGGCCCCTTGGAGACAGGGGAGTGTTTGGAGGAACCCAGCTCTCGGGGCTCCTAACTGGGCTGCTGACTTGAGAACCTGACCTGAGAGCCAGGACATGAGTCTCCCAGGCTGGGCTGGCTGGGCTCACGCAACGCGCCCTCCAAAGCAGGCCTGGCCTCGCCAGCCGTGGGTCTCAGCTCCGGAGGGTGGAAAGGCGGGGCTCACCCCAAGTCCCAGATGAGTGTGAGCCCAGCCACAGAGCTGGAATCCAGGGCTCCGGCCCCCCACTTGGCCCCACTCATGGAAAGGCCTGGCAAGTGCTTGGAGTCCAAAGGGGTAGGTAGGGACAGCAAGGTGCTGAGGGGTCCTGGCCCGAGGCAAGCCCGCCAGTGAGACGCCTGTTGCTTTGATTTCAGCCTGAGGCTGGGGCTGCAGAGTCTCCAGGTGAGTGTGGGGCCAGTGCCTCAGGGCTGCCTGCCTGCCTTGTGCCCGCCTGCCCGTGCCTTGGGTTGCAGAGCTGTGCCTGGAGCCTGCTGCTCAGGGCTGGGTCTGTCCTCCTGCTGCCTGCTGTGTGTGCGCTTCTGCATAGCTCCCTCCTGCTCTTAGACGGAGGCTGACGAACACCTCTCCCCACCTGCAGGGAAGTCGAGGCCGTTGCCTGTGTGATGGACACGTCTACCCTGCCGTGCCAAGGGCTGGGTCCCAAGGTCTCACTGGCTTACTCCTGCTGCAGCACGGGGAGCCCAGGAGATGGAGGCCAGAGTGGAGGCCCCTCTTCTCTGCCTCCCCTCAGAGATGAGAAACAAGTTCAGAAGGAAATGGTGTCTCGACTGTGGCTCTGGGTACAAATGGCATGGGATGGAAGGGCAGGAACGGCCTGCCCTGCCTGGCAGAGCCAGGCCTTCAGGGAGGGCCCTCACGGGGAGGGCAGCAGTGTGGGGAGGGGAGGCCCTCGCCGGGGCTGGCCGGGTCTCCCAGCCTGCAGGGCACCCTCTGTAGTGGGTAGCCCGGCAGGCACAGGAGCCATGGGAACGGGACAGCCCTGCCCCTCTCCCCTCCCAGGGGGGGCCCCCACACTGGGCGTATACATAATGTTCATTAGTGTACATAGGAGCACGGCCCTGCCTGCCACGGGCCGCGCTGTATTTATGGCTGAGGAGGCCGGAGGGCAGATCTGCTGCTCCCTTCGTCTGCCTGGCACCAGGCTCTCTCCTTGCTCACTGGCCTCTTGACATTTTCCTCTCTGAAATCCTATTTAAGAACTTTTGGAAGCTTAGCCATTTTTACTTATTAAAATAAAAGCCTTTTTACACAAGTGTAGTCTGAAAGAGTGGGTCTTGTGAGCCCCTGGTCAGGTCACAGGGAGCAGGGCATTGGCACATGGATGTAATAGTTGGCTCCCCATTGCTGGCTGGTCACCCACAGCCCTCTAAGTCAGGGCTGGCCCCCCTTCCCTTTATTGTGACATAAGACATGTCACCCCAATCTTATACATGGGAAAGGAAGGCTCCTCCAAGACCTGACAAAACCACGTGTGGCCCTGGACTTCCCCTGGTCGCAGGTGAGCACCACCCTCCTCCCAGGGCCTGTAGGACCCCAACCACTAGCACAGGGCAACCCACCCCCGCAAACATGCGGGTTGTGTTGGCCTGTTTCTGTCCCAGCCTTGGGGTAGCCTGTGTTCAGTGGGGTCCTCCCTCCGACTGGGGCTGAACCCGCCAGCTGCTGCTCCGAGAGCAGAAGAGATGCCCCTGGGTCGAGGCAGCTTGTCCTGGCCAGCCAGCACTGGGGGCTCCTGCAGGGAGCGGTGTCTGTTCAGAGCCCTCATCAGAGGATGGGGCAGCCGCCCTTCCAGTCCTGTCCCTGGGGGCCTCCTGGCGGTTCAGGGGAGCAGGCTGGTTCTGGGCCAGCCCAGTGGTGGCCATGCCTGTGAGGCTGGGCTCCTGGCATCCTGCAGGGTACAACCGTTGGCCTTGGAGGCGTCCACTGGGACAGAGGGGATGGTGGGGCCCACCCTCCCCTGTTTCCCAGCCATAGAGGAGTTGCTGCCTCCCCCGTCCTCCCCAAGTAAGTCTGAACTGGTCCTGTCCTGCCGGGCTGGCGCTCTGCTGTCCCCTGCTGGCCACACAGGTTGGCACACCACCTCTGGGGCTTGGAGGGGGTGGTCTCATCTCTGAAGAGGCTGCGCGGCCAGAGGATGCCCCTCCCAGCAAGGAAGCGAGGGAATAGTTACAAATTTAATAAAATTTGCCTTATAAATTACAGCAGCAGCCCCAGGGCTCGGTTTGCTGCCCCAAGAAGCAAGAGTTGGCAAAGCTGGGCAGCCGGTGCCGGAGAGACACTGTCTGAGAGTTCAGGGCTATGGAGGTGGCCAGTGTGCCAGCGCCGCCGCCTCCAGGGTGGCAGCAGTGGGGGCAGGGCAGAGGCTCACGGCCCGTGGGAGCACAGGGAATAGGTGTAGGGGCTGAGGCCAGGCCCTGATGGCTGCCAGGTGCCCCCCGCCCACTGGATTCCTCAGTCCAAACTGGCCATGAGAAGGTGCAGCTCCCGGAAGGCACTGCCGTGGCGGCCGCTCAAGCCCGACTTGCTCTTGACAAGGCCACTGATGCTCTTGAGCTGCTTGTAGCAGAGCCGGCACTTGTGCAGCCTAAGGGCAGAGGGGCAGTGCTGGAGGTGGCCAGCTGTGTGGACACCATGACCGCCACCCGACCCTGGGGCCTTTCCTGTCCTAACCACTTTCACCGCTTTCCCAGGCCAGGCGAGGCCACACCAGGGCTCTGGGCAGAGACAGGCCATAGAGCCAGGGACTCTGTCCCAGCACAATGACCTCCATAAGCTGTTTCAGCAGGGCCATCCAGTGGGCTAGGCCCCAGGCCTGTGTGCCCTCGCTTGGCGTGGCACCCCTGCCCCAATACCTGCATACCGCCTGGCACCTTACCTCTCCTCCCGGCTGATGTCCACACCCACGGAGGGCGGGGCTGCCAGGATGTCAGTGATCAGGGGCAGAAACCGCTGCAGGATCAGCTTCAGGGAGGTGCAGCCTGTCTGGACATAGCTTCAGAGGCAGGAGGATGGATGGAGCCGCAGACAGAACGATAACCAGCAAGGTACACACGACAGAGGGGCAGAGATGGACAGAGGATCAGAGGCAGCCCTCTCCGGAACTCGGAGGGGACAGCAGTGCCGCACAGCCACCTCACGTGGGCGCCGGCCCTGGGTCTTTCTCCGGTCCTTGCAGGAGCCCCTGCCACCTCCCCTCCCGCACACACCTTTCATACTTGCTCTGCAGCAGCTTCTCGATCTGCGGCAGCACCGTGGTGCACAGGTCCAGCTTCCACAGGGAGCTGGGGAGAGGGCCAGGGACATGCCCTCAGCGCCCGGCCCTGCCCACCCTGCCCGCTCGCCCGCCACGGCCACTTACGCTTTCTGGTTGACGATGTTAAGAAGATCCACCACCACTGACAGGTCACTGATGGCCACGGCCGAGTCCACTGACGTCTGTGCAAATAGAGCACCTGTCAGCGAGCACTGGGGACAGAGTGGCCCCTGATGGGCTGTGGTGTGACGATGGGGTTTGTTGTGGGGTATTAATAGGACTGCCCCTAAAATGATGAGTGCAAGGCCAGGCCCATAAATAGGTGCTCAATATATGGCAGCTTGTGATGGTGAGGATGGAAGAAATAAAAGTGAAGCCAACCATGGTGTGGTGTCAGGGGCTGGCACTTGCCTTGATGTCGCCTGTGGTCCACACGGCCCGCACGGTGTCCAGGTTCTTGTGGCGGCTGGTGAGCACCACACACATGGTGTCATGGCCTTTGCGGATCTGTGACATGGCATCCTCGTCAACCAGCTCCGTCTGCTGGGAAACCTTCACAGCCTGGTGGGATGGGTCCAGATGCTGGCAGCAAAGCTCTGCCCTCGCCTCACGGACCTCCACCCCATCCTTGGGCTGGGCCCCCACTCACGGGCAGGAAGTCGGAGGCCTTCAGCCCAATGGGCTCATTCCGGGTGGCAGGGATGATGGCAGGCTCGGCCTTGGGTGCAGGGGTGGAAGTGGCGACCTGGGGCCAGGGCAGGACCTCGAGCTGGAGGGGTCTGGAGCTCAGCAGGCGGCCAGTCTGAGGTCTCCCTCTCTGCCCCCCAGCATGGGAGTCCCCCAACCCTGGTTCAGGACTCCGGCTCCTCTCTGAACCCCACACCACGCCCTCTCCACCTGGACATACGTTTGGCACCGGGAACTGCGTGTCCATGGCTGGGCTGGGCTTTGCTGCCTCCTTGGCTGTGGCCGTGTCTGGAGAAAAAGGGGAAAGACCTCTGGGTCAGGAGGAAGGCTGGGCTCGGGTGGGACTCTGGGCAGCACCTGTAAGTGAGGGTGACGGAGAAGGAGCCGACAGGCTGCCAGGAAAGGAGACGTCAGCAGCATGGGTGCTGAGCAGGCCTGAAGATGGGGGCTGGGCCTGTCCCCCACTCTCCACTTACTCAACCCCAGGTCGGGCAGAAAGCAGGTGTCTAGCGCCGTGTGTGGACGGGACCCAGGGAGTGCTAGGGAGTGGCACTCAGCCACCTCACTAGGAATGCGTGTGCTGGGGGCGCCGGTGGTGAGTGGGTGGAGACGGCCCCCGGCTACAGTGGCCCTAATGACCTCTCACCATGACCATCACGTTCCTCCACAGCACGTGTCCCATTTCTAGACCCATCTGTGTGGTCGTCTGCCTACCTTTTGTCCTTGTCACTAGGGTGTGGGCCCCTGAGAGGAGCACCTGCCTACTTTGCTCACAATCATCAGGGTCTAGCCTGGCACACAGTAGGTGCTCTTGGGCAAGTGGAGGGAAAAGACCCAGTGGGAGAGAGGCTCATATTATGGGACAGGAGGGGAGGCCAGGGGCTCAGAGAGGGACGGACTGGCTGGGAGCTGGGGACACTGGGAGGCCAGGCCCTGCCTCCCGACTCACCATCCTCTGGGGGTGCTGGGAAGGGCTCACTTCTCCGGGGTGGCGTCCGACCTATAGAGACAAAGGGGGTTGGGGACTCACGTTGGCCAGCCCAGGGCTCCTATCTGAGCCTCCAGGGAGGGGGTGGCCTCGGAGCCAGGGCCGTCGGGATGCAGGGGGATGGAAGTTGGTTCCCAGGCACACAGTTGCAGACCTATGACCCTGTCCCGACCCCATGAAGCCTTAGGTCGGCCCCAAAGGCCTAAGGGCCTTCCTTGCCCCTGTGGGCTTTCCTTTGTTTAGGGCGGGCAGGGCACGGAGTGGCTTCCGGGCCCTCTGCTGGGGTCTAGAGGGCCTGGGAACAGAGCCTGGCCTGGTGTGAGTTAAGAATTAAGCTAAGGGAGTGACATGGACGCTGTCCCCAGAGAGGATCATGTGCTTCCACTTCATAGGTGGGGACATGGCTTGGAGGGGCGGGAGCCAGGCCTCACTGATGCTGTTCTTTGGCTGGAAGATCTCGTTGTAGTCCTCGGCGTTCTGGATCTCCGCCCGAGACTCCCGCTCCTCCCGCTCGTCCTCGCTGCTGGGGCTGCGGCGCTCACTCTCTGAGTTCTGCTTTACCCTGGGGGGGGCCGAAAGGAGCCCGGGGCCCAGTGAGGCCGGGCTGGGCTTCCTAAAGCCTTCCTGGGGGGCCTGCCTCCTGTGCCCCCCAGCGCCCTCTGAGACCCCAAGCCCACCTCTGAGGCTTGCTGCAGGCTGTGCCGGGCCGCTCGTAGATGCGTCGGAGGGGGACACTGGGAAGGGGCGGCTGCTGTGCCAGCGGCTGGCTGTCCTGCACGGGGTCCTGGGCCACCGTGCCTGTCCTGGTGACCCGAGTCAGGTCCACCACGTAAGAGGAGACGTTGCTCTGGGAGAAGGCCACACCTATCTGCAGGAAGCGGCAGAGCTGGGGCGGGACCCTCGGCAGCAGCAGCTGGGGTATGGGTGTGGGTAGGGGCCTGAGGTGGAAGGGGATGGAGGCGCGGTGACAGGGTGGACGGTGGCTTTCTCACCAGCTGGTTGTTGCAGATGGCCAGGTCGGCCACCTTGCCCCAGTTGACTAGGACCACGTCAAAGCAGCGCTCGGGCTCCCAGCCATAGACACGTAGCGAGTCCTGGCAGCCACTGTATAGGCAGCAGCCATCAGGGTTGAAGAGGACACTCCTAGGCCAGGCAAGAGTGGATCGTGGGTCCTAAGAAACCCGAGGAGGCTGCAGGGACCCAGGGACAGAAGGGAACGGAAGTGGAGATGGGAAAGGCCCACCCACGTCCACAGCCCACCACCCAGCTGCCTGCATACCTGACGGGTCCTGGTTCCCCTTCAATGCAGCTCACCACCTGGAATTTCTCCAGATCCCAGAAACGGATGGTCCTGCAAAGGCAGTCAGGCTGTGCTAGGAAGCCAGGGTCTCCCTCCGGCTCCACACAGGCCCATGGCTGGGGCAGCCTGCTTGTCTCCAGACACCTGCCCACCCCCACCTCATTCTCAGGGCCATTAGGAGCAATGCCTAGGGCCAGGGGCTGGCCCTGGGCCCACAGGGGGAGGAACGCCGAGGGTGGGAAGTGAACATGGGCCTTGGATCTGGATGTGCCGAGACACTGGGGCCAGGAATGAGGCTCAAGGGAGAGACAGGACCAGGGTCCCATCTTGACTTGGCCAGCAGTTAATTCAGTCTACACAGGTTCATCAGGCATATGACACCCTGGGACAGAGAGACAGATTGGGGACAGATATACATACACTCAGAGGATAGAGATGAGAAGGATGGCAGTCGCAGGCAACGGGCCCTGCTGCTTCTCACCTGTCGGAGCTGCCAGAAGCCAGGAGGTACTCATTAGGGTGAAACTCGACCACGTTCACAGGCCCTGTGTGGCCAGGGAACTCGGACATCATCTTGCCGGCAGTCAGATCCCAGAGCTGGGGTCGGGTGGGGTGGAGGTCAGGACCAGGCCGGGCACCGCAGCCGCCCTCTCCCTCTATTCCAGCCTGAGCTCTTTATCCACACACCACCCTCCTCTGTGGACAGGCTTGGGACATGCAACCCCCGTCAGGAAGGAGATGAGGACCCAGCCTGAGTGTGAGCAGCAGACGCCAGTCCCCAGCCCTGGGCCCAGGTCAGGCCAGGAGCTACCTTCACCGTGTGGTCATCTGCCGCCGACGCCAACCACTTCCCGTCAGGGCTGAACCGGAGACACCGCACGGCCTGGCTGTGCCCCTGAGAAGAGGACAGGGCACCGGGCTCACCCTAGGGGCCTGGGCCCAAGGAGCTGCGTTCCCCACCCCCCCCAAGCCATCTCTGCCCTCAACAAGCAGTGCTTCCTAGGGAGCAGGCAGTGAGGGGACTGCCATGGAGAGACTTCCCTATATGCGGTCATGGATTCCGAGTCCTGCAGGACGCTCCGGGAAAGCGAGGTTGCATGGTCATTTGGTGTGGGAAGAAACATGTCTTATGCCTCTTTTTGGAGAGTTAAATGCCCTTTCTTAATGTCAATGGGTCTAAAAACCTCTAAAAATAATTCTCTGTTAAACTCAGTGCTTCACACTCACATGAATAGGCACCCCCTTCACCTAACAATACCTGTTACCTGCTGATAAAACCAGAGAATGGAGCAGTTTGGTAAACACAGCTCTGAGTGGATTCATGGCAAGCTGGGGGTCCAGGTGGACCCCACGCACTCCTGCTCTGCGCCAGTTCCTGTTTCTCGTTGGGACTCTCGTTTCTCAGGTTGGACTGCCGTCCCCTCCAGCCCTTGCCAGTCTGGACGCCGCCCACGCCCTGTGTCTGCGCTTGTGGAATGACCAACAGAGGGTGCCTTCCTTACCCTGTATCGGAAGACACAGCCTTTCCTCCTGATGTCCCAGAGCTGTGGGGAGAGAGAGGAGCAGAGGGGCAGGGTCAGGAGAGCTCACAACCAAGGGCGGGCCTGGGCTGGGGAGGCCTAGAGCCTGGGGTCGGAGGGCAGTGTGTGGCTGTGAGCAGAGAATGACTCTGGGCACCTCCAGGTCATGACACCCCAAAATAACAGGGGTCTAGAAACTGCTCACTAAAACTGGGAATTCTAAGGAGAAATGCTGCCCCAGAGAGGGAAGACACCCCCCACAGTGCTGAAAGCCCACCCTCTCAGGCAGGACAGACGGCCCGATCCCACTGCCAGCCCAGCGGGAGATACAGGGCTCCGAGTGGGGTCTCACCTTGATGTTAGTGTCCTGGGAGCCCGAGGCTACGAACTCGCCATACGGGTGGAAATCGAGGCTGCAGATGTTGGCTTTGTGTCCCATGAGTGTGCGAAGAACTAAAAGGAAGAAAGCAGACACAATGGCGTGAGAGGCACACAAGACGGCTGGCAGAGAGGGGCTGCTGTCTTCACTGTGTGTGGCTTTAATAGTAACTGAACAATACCACAGATTTTAAAATAAGGGGAAAAAAATCACCCTGGGCCCTACCACCCTAACAACTTATTTTCCTATTTTTCTCCTGAGAGGCGACAGCCATTTCTGTCATTACCTGAGCCCCCGAAAATGATATCGCGCCATCCCCCCACCTTGTGCCCCTGGGTTCGTCCTACTGCTCTTGTAAGAATGAAGGGTGAGGGAGGCTGTGATGTCAGGCAGAGGGAAGTGGTGGGCAGAGGCCCCGAGGAGGGCAAGTGGAGGGTGTGCCTGGGGTGGCCCTGTGCTTGCACTGGTCCTCTGTCCCAGGGATCTTGAGGGTGGCTGAAAGGACAAGCTGTGAGAGCCGAGAGCACAGGGAGATGACTGGGGTCTCAGAACCCTTAGGGGCGGAGTGCACATCACCTCCTGCGGCCCCAAGAAACCATGTCTCCTATCCTTCAAGGTTTTAAAGGCAGCTCCATGGCCCGTCTGGCCTGGGCCACAGGCAAACTGTGTGTTTGTTTCTGGTGCCACTCAAATTTGTCTCTTCTCTCTGGCCTCATGTCTTGCTTTTTAAAAGATTTATAATTCCACTGTCTGAATGAAACTGATCACTCCATGAGTGCTGGGGCCAAGCGGTACAAGAGTCCAGCCATCATTAGGTTTGAGCCAAGGTGAACCAGGATACCTTTTGAGAGGTCGTGAGCTCTCTGTTGAAGGAGGTGTTCAAGCAGCCTCCAGATGTAATGCTTTAGGCACAAGAGAGTCGAGCTCTAAGTACTGGGTGAATTAAACAAACTCTATTGTATGACTGTCTGCATCCCTCAGGTCCAGGTCCAGAGCTCTGCAGACAGACAGGACTGGGTCTGCTCCTTGCTTGCTGTGTGACCTTGAGTAATCCCTTACCCTTTCTGAGTCTCATATTGGGTCCTGGTCAGGACTATGTAATAAAACGTACATAAAAGTCTTAGGATGGACCTGACACATGGTTAAATGCTCAATAAATGCCAGTTATAATAATTCTCACAATTTCTTCCTGCACAAGGCCTGACTTCATCCTCTCTTCTCTGTCACCTAAGCTAGACCTTCTCTCTTCCTCAGGCCTCTGAATACTTGTCCTGGTTCTCTGTGTTCTGGCCCCAGTGGTGACCCACTATTCAGTGCCATGGCCTTTCGGGCACCTCCCTCACCCCAGGATATCTGCTGAGCACTTCTGGTGTTCCCGGGACAGGCTGAGTGATTTCCGAGTGTGAGTCTCCCCGACCCCCAACAATGCCAGGAGGTGGGCAAGGCCCTGAGGCGCAGAGGGAGAAGCACCCCACTTACGGCTGGTCAGCAGGGCACAGAGCCAGAATTTAAGGCAGGCTTCTGACTCGTGAGCAGCTTGTCTTACTGTGTGACCCTCTCCCTGGGTCACAGTTGTCTAAAGCTCCTAAGACAGGCCAGGCACAGCTAAGGGCGGGATAAAAGCGAGCTGCTCTGATTGTCATCTGCCCTGAGGACAAAGTCCATCTCGCTGCCCACTACATCCACCCATCCTACTAGGTGCCCCTCTGCACTGGTCCTGTGGGACACTGAGCTGGGACTGACCTGCCTGTACATCCTGCACAGAGTGTGACAAGGCGCCTGACACATCTGTTCTCTGAGTATCTAACTCAATCGCACCAAAACCTGAGCAGCAGCCCCTCCTCACACTCTGTCGTTGTCACATGCCACCGGGGGCTCAGCACTGTCTTTCTGGTCAAGGAGGCCTCGGGCACATGCTGACCAACCCAGGGCCTGGAGGGGGCACTCATGCTGCCTCCTGCTTCAGCTCACTCTGCATCCCACGGCAGTTTCCAAAATCCTGCCCCGCCCCGAGAGGATGTGGAGTCCCACCCTGCGTGGGCCGGCTTCGTGAAGCGCAGGCCAGGTCGCCTTCCTGTGGCATCCCTGGCCGACCCACCCTCGCCCTCTGGCTGTGCCAGGGAGAGCAGGCAGGACCACATTCTTCGGGCATGACTTCTGCCCTTGCTCTTCTGTCCCGGAGGGCCCTGGGTCGCAGCACCTGAGAGCTGCATAGTGGAGGGCCTCTGGGGTCCGTGTACCCCGTTCAGGAACCTCCAAGCCCTCCTGGCTGAGCAGCTACTCAGCTACAGGGTCTTTACCAAGTGTGGTGCCCTCCATGGGCCCCAGCATGTGACAGATAAAGGGGCCCTGCTAACCTGGACTGCATCAGAATCACCTGGAAGCTTACTGAAAGCCAGATTCTGGGTTCCCCTGACTTCTGAGTCAGGTACCCTGGGAGCGAGGTCTGGGCCGTATGTTTTTAACAAGCTCCTTGACAGCAGCTAGCCCTGGGAGTCCAGTGCCCAGGAATTCCAGAGGTCTTCCACTTTCCCTCTTTGCCCACCTCAAGGAAGTCTCACATGCCCCTTATGCGTGAAATGAGTGTGGCTGAGAACGCCTGGCATCCTTGTCTTCTTTTCCCCTTGCTCCTCAGTGAATGGTGCCGTCCACTGGGATTTGAGTCCAGGCAGAAACTTCCAAAAACTGACACGCCTCTTGCCCCGAGCCTTTCTGCTTTCTCAGTTGGAGCCCGGCCAGCCGGCCTGTTCCGTCCAGCAATGCCAGCATACATAGATGCCTTGGGTCCTGCATGTGGCCAGGCAGCAGGACCATGTGTTAAGACGCTAAGCATGCAACCCGTTTGTTATCCAAGAGATCCTGGGGTCTGCTTTTCTTAAGCAGCCCATCACCAGGTGGGCAAGCATCACCCAAGAGGCCCAGGGGCACCATCTTTCTGGAGGGCCACCTACACAAGACCACTGCTCTTGGGTAGAATGAACCTGGCCGCCAGGTGTGTGTGGCTGGTGGCTGCCGTCCTACAGCAGAGGAAGAGCACACACCACAGGAGAGGCCCAGAAGGACCTATAAGTCTCAGTCAGGCAGTGGGGCTCTCTTCTGGCTAAAGTGGCCTTGGCAAAATCCATGCCACCATTTCCTCTCCTGGCCTTCAGGTAGCAATGGCCTCCTGCCTGGCAAGCTGGAAGGTCCAGAACAGAGGCTGGCAAAAAGCAGTGAGCAAATGGGTTTTACCTTGGCCTCCCAGTGTTGGCCTGACCGGTGTTCCGAAAAAATGTTGAATTAGCTGTCAATATTCAGAAATGGTGGATTCCACTTCAATTTCCAGATTCCCAGCTTCTCTTGAAAAATCCATAGAGCTGGCCCCACCCACAATGCCGTGTGGCAACACCCTGCTGAGGCTGAGAGGGAGCCCCCCTTTTAGGGAGGGAGAGACTCCCCACTTGGCCTAGAACCAAAGGCACGAGTTTACGGACTGAAAGGACTCGGCAAGGATCTAGCACAGGAATAAACATTGACCCAAGGTTCACCAGTGTGCAACTTCAGGACACTGGGACAAAGATCCTACAAGCCTGCAGCGAGGCAGGCAGAGGGAGGAAAGCAGCAGGGGTCCGGGGGGGAGACAGCACTGATCTCCCAACAGCAGCCCTGGGACCTAAAATACAATGGCACTGCGCCTTCAGAACTCGGAGGGAAAAGTATTTCCAACTTAGAGTTCTATACTCAAACTCTTAAAAGAAAGGATGGGGGTAGAATAAAGTCCTTTTCAATCATGGAAAGTCTCTAAAACTGTGCCTGTTGTGCACCTTTTCTCAGTAAGCTATGAAACAATGTTCTCCATCAAAAAGAGGAAGAAAACCAAGAAAGGTGACAACGTGGGATCAGGGCAGCAGAGGGAGTGAGTTCCCTGCAGAGGAGATCAGGGGAGCACAGGATGCCAGCTGAGCTGCAGGCCCTGGGACCCCAGGCCACCAAGACCTGAGGACAGAGGCTCTGAGAAGAGACCTCGCTTACGGGATGGGTTTGAGGGTAAACTGAAGGAGGTTTACTTTTCCGGCAGAGAATTTGGGGATGAATTAATAATAAAGATGTAGAAAACATGCAGATGAAAAAAAACACACACCAATTATTAATACCAGGGAAACAAAGTTTTAAAAAGAAAAGAAATATGATCAGCCCCAAATACTATCTAGATGGCCCTGAGAATATAAACCCCGGATATTTAAAAGGTGATACTGGGAGGACGGAGGAGAAATGTTGTGAGAGGCTCCACGAGAGCTAACTTCTCATCTTCCACAGCAGGATGGCAACACCTAATATACAAAATGTGTTTCAAAAGAAGGTGCAGTGTAACCATGTTGTTTAGAAAAGTGGAGGGAATTGGCAAAACACCAGGTAAAAGGACAGAAGGCTGAGGCCTCTGGAGAAGGGAAGGGGCGGGACTAAGACTTCCTCTTTCTGTTGTGAATATTTGCAGAAATATTGGTATCTGACTTTTCAAACTATGTGTAACTTCTGTAAAGATGAAAACTAAATTAAAACAAACAAAGCACATGGAAACAGAAGGTCTGGCCACCTCAGCCCCACTCCTGCAGGCGAAAGTTAGCCAGAACTGAGTGGGGGCCCCCTCCCAGTCGGGGCACCACACTCCCCAGTGCGCCCCCATAGCCACCTCCCTCATTTACATGTCCTGTGTGGTCCCTGGTGGCACTTGATGTCCTTCCAGGCTCTGAATCCACACCGACACCCACCTGCCCATCCACAGTTGTCCATTCAGACATTTACTGGGCACCTCTTCAGTGCCAGCACTCAGAGAGCAGTGCACGTCGCTGCTGCCAGGCTAATGGGGGTGGGGGGATCGCCGCACCATCTGGTGAGTGCTCCAGGGGGGCGGCACCCAACCTAGTCAGGCTTCCCGGAGGAAGCAGCTAGACAGGAGAGCCTGAGACAGCAGGACCGCAGGCTGCATATGGGAAAGGTGAGCGTAGATGCCTACTTTTGGCAGCTTCCAGGTCCCAGACACGGATGGAGCCCGACTGGGAGCCGGCCACAATGAGCTCCTCGGGGGTGTTGAGGCGGACACTCTCCACTGGGGACGTGTGACCCGTCAGGCTCTGTGGAGAAAGGGTGGCAACTTCAGCGCACTGCGTGGACAGACCCTCAGCTGCTGCCCCAAATTCTGGGTCCCCAGAAAGTGTGTCGGAGAGAAGTGACCCAAGCAACAGGGCCACACGCAGGCTCTCCCACGGATAGCTGAGCAGCCGCTTCTCTCGGCCTCACCTCCCAGGGCTGAAAGCGGGCCACTGCCCGCTATGCTGACGTGGAGGCCCTGGGCCCCTTGGAGGGGAGCAGCTGACCCTTTTAGTCCTGAGTCCAAACCATCGCCCACCTAGGCTCTGCTCCCGTCGCCAAGCCCCTTGGAGGGGAACCTGGCAGAGCCGAGGCCTGGCTCGTTAGCGGCACGTGTCTCGCCCGTCTAGAATGCCTGGACCCCTGGGGCCACCCCTGCTGGCGGACCCAGCCATACTCCCAGGCGGGGGCTCTCAGAACCCAGAGGGCCTGGGAATAACTGCTGGAAAACATGGACACTCTCACCCAGTCAGAGCTGGGCCGGGCTGAGCCCAGGAGCAAGTGGGAGATGCTGGCATCTCCGGCTTTCTGGAGAGAGGCTGGAATCTGAAATCCATGGTGTCTGTCACTCCCCGCCCAGCGCTGGCCAACCTAAGGCACAGTGGTGACTCCATCAGTGTTTGCTAAGACAACATTCCCCATGGGGGTTGGGCACCAGAGGGAAAAACTGCTCCTCAGCAGAATTACCCCAACGCCAGACAGTTACAAGCAGTTTGTCTGACTCCTAAACATCACCGGCAGGAGTATAAACGGTACAAACCACATAGAGGGTAACTGGGCACAATCTACCCACATTTAGATATGCACATTCCTGCACACCAACAGCTCCGCCTCTGGGAGCTTGTCTTACACACGCTCAGACACATGCGCAACACACACCGAAGGTTACTCACTGCAGTGAATCTTTTGCACAAAAGACTGGAAAAAATGCAAATACCCAGCACAAGAAACTAGTTGTATAAGCTGTGGTCATCCATGGTCACCCATGCAATGGACTGCCATTCATTCAGCCATAAAAACGTATGAGGCAACTCTCTGCATATGATAAAGACTAACCTCCATGATACTTTCAGGTGAAAAAAGATAGAGACAGTGTGTACAGTAAGATACCATTTGTGTAAATATAGGAGGGGAAGGGGAATAGGCATGCACATTTGCTCGTGAATGCATAAAATAATTCTGAAAGGACACAGAGGAATCAGAGGCGTGGCTGTCTCCAGGGAGGGACGTGGAGGTTAGGGGAGGAAGAGAGATGTTTCACTGTTTACTGCGTACATTTGGAGGTTGAACTGTATGAGTTCATACACACTCAGAAATACACAGAAATAGATCAAAGTGGGCTGCCTGCAGAGGGCGTAGCACATGCACAAATCTAACGTGAGAAAGAACTTGGCAAGCCTACGGCCCTGAAAGGCCTGATCTGTGGGGAGTCAGGGGAGAGGCGCAGGCTGAGGCCTGCGGGCTGCAGCCGGTGTGGGAAGATGAGTCTGGGGGCCAGACCCCAAACTGTCCACGGTGCTTCCCCGGGGATGAGAGCCTGGGCTCACTTCATGTCCATTCTTTGTGAGTCCATTCTTTTTCAGATCTCAGTTCTCCACTGGATTTCCCCCAAATCACTGAGGTAATTAAGTCTCCACTAATAAATATCGCCTCCCACCTCTTTTTATCTGTCTTTACTTGGCCAAGAGTCAAAAGGCTGACACTGCCCTGTGCTGTAAGGCTGCGGGGGGAGACGGAGGTTCCTGGGCTGCTGGCGGGAGTGTAAATGGATTTCTGGAGGGTAAGGTGGCAATGTGTTTTGAAAGCTTTTTAAAAAGTTCACACCCTTGGATTTTAATGCAAGGGGTCACAGATTTAGGCAAAAAAGTCTGCTCAAAGATTTAGGCAGATGAGGACCTCGGATGGGCAGATGGGCCGTGGGCAGGGGAGGCTCAACCGTGGGCCTGTCAGCTCGTTTTAGCCTTCTCATGCTGGCTCCCTGGGGTGCTATCTCACAGCCAGGTAACACCCCCATTCCTGAGCGCTGGCCATCCAGGGTTGTCCTCTGTCTTCCTGAGAGACAGCTGGGGAAGGCCCGGATGTTGTGCTATGTCCCTCTGCACAAGGGCTGGGTGCCCTCGGGCAGGGTGCCTGCAAAGCCACCTGCTCCTGACCCCAACCCTGCCCTGCCGAGCCCCCGCCCATCCCTAGCCCCTCTCCCTGCTGGCTGAGGCTCACCATGATGCAGTTGGGCTTGTTGATGGACCACAGGTTGACGCGGCAGTCATCCCCGCCTGTTGCCAGCAGCCGCCCAGAACCTTTTCCCAGCACCAGCGAGGACACATTGCTGGCATGGGCGACGATCTCCTCTGCACAGGGAAGGGCAAGGGGAGAAGGCAGTCAGGGGGCTTGATGGGTCACGTGAAAGAGGGGTGGGCTTGGCCCCCAGCTCTGACACTGGAAGCCCTGTGGGAGGGCTCTGCCCCCTTCAGCTCCCCTTTGGTACCCAGATACCCCATATGACACCAGCCTAGAAGGCAGGGCCTGGGCTTGAGACAGAAATGACTATTTCTCAACTTCAGTCATTCCTGTCCCACCCTGAGGCCTCATGATTTTTTCCTCCTTCTTCTGCATGTCGACTGGTAATATTATTGACTTACTATGTTTACTTTTAATCTGTCTTGTAAGCAATAATATCCACAAAATTACCAGTTTGATATGTTCATTATATTTTTCCACAGTACAAAATGAAAATGAAAACAATTATTAAGATAAAAATACTGAACTATGTACCGCCTACACATCTCGCACATAAACCTACTCACTGTGCACATAAACCCCACTTTGGGGAACACACTTTAAGAACCATTAAGGTCAACTCTAGCCAAGTTGTCCCGAGGGGAGCGCAGCCAGGGCTTCAGCCCACAGCCTCAGAATCATGGACCAGGCGCTGGCCTGAGCTCTGCTATTGCAGGCTGTGTGGCCTTGGATAAGTCACTCACCCTCTCTGAGGGCTGGGTTTGTCGTCCAGTAAATGGGGATAATAACAGTGCCTGGCTTATTGAGTTGCTGAGGATTCAGTGAGAATGTGCCCGTGAGCTGCAGAGTATGGAGCGGGTGCTCTGTGGTTGGCAGGCAGGCTAAGGAACAGTCGCCATGGAGAGTGGGCATTAGGGCCCCAAGTGGGCAGGAGAGTGGGCTTCATGAGGAGGGGAGCAGGAAACAGCCGACTGAGAGGTCTGGGAGTGAGGGGATGGGAGTGACAGCTGCCAGGCAGAGTGGGAGGTACGGTGTTGCAGGCAGCCACGAGGGCCCTTGGCTTGTGCTGTGGGGGCAGCAGACAGAGCCTCAGGAGACATCATCAGTGCTCCGAAGGGAACAAAACATGGGCAAGGAGCCAAGAGGCAACTGAGGCCTCCGAGCCCATCCCTGAGTGTGTCTCCCTCTTGGGAACAAGGAGGAGACAAGACATGTCTCCCCATACAGACAGGGCAAACCCCAGCGTGCTGATGCTGAGGCAACTGGGAGGCCGGCGTGGGTGATGGCTTCCACCCTGCCTGGGGGTCTCTGTGGTGTGAGCTTCAGGCCACAGGGAGGTTGTGAATAGGCCCAGGAAGGCTGCTTGCCAGGCAGCCTGGCTCAGAAGGGCTAGCAAAGCTGCCCGGGGACCAGGCCCCAGGCTCGACCTCGGCGATGACACCCAACCTCATGGCCCAGCCGGGCACAAGCAGCGTCCAGCCCTGGCCTGGGCGAGAGTCCCCAAACATCAGCCAGGGCCTCAGGGACCCCGTCACTGGATCCAAGGGACTGGGGCGCCTCTCTATCCGCATCTCAACCAAGGAGCCTCTGTCCTCTGGACACTGTACGAACAGATGCCTGGGGGCTCTGGCCACTGACACTTATCTGTTCAAGGGCTTCTGTTTGGCCAAAGTGACTGCCCAGCCCAGAAAGAAGACAAACCACCTTCTCCCTGAGCACTCTGATCCCAAGCCTCAGGCCTCCCCTTCTCTGAAGACACTCCACACAGGCACTACCCTACACCTTTGACCTACCTACGGACCTGAGTGTCTACCCCCGCTCACCCTTCTCAGGGAAAGTTCTGGCTGGGCCCTACCTCACTGGGCCTTGTTGCGTCCACTATCATCCCTCTCTGGGCCTCAGGGCCGCTGCCCCTAGAGACAGCCATTAATTCATAATATATATGGTTCCTGGGTGCCTACTCCAGGCCCAGGACTGGGGAGACAGCAGGGAATGAGAGTGTTAAGATTCCCATTTTCATGCAACAGCCTGATCAGATTGTTTCTGGGACAGGGCATCAGCTGGAAGAAGAACCAGACTCTGAGGTTAGAATTTGGAGGTTGAGCCCTTCTAGAAGGGCTCAGACCACTTCCCTCTAAACAGCATGACCAGGGACTGACTGAAGCCCCTGGAGGGACCAAGGAGGAGAGAGGACACAACATGGGTACCAGGCAGAGGAGGCCTCAGCACAGGGCGCTGGCCTAAGAACTCCCCTCTGGCTTAAAGGACAGCACCCACCAATGGCCCAGGCTTGGGTAACCAATTTCAGTGCAAACAAATAAAGATCCTCGCAGCATCTACAGGCAGGCCAGGCCAGCAGCTGCTGCTCCATCCTGTGGCAAAAGCCCATGCGTTCCCCAAGCTCAAGTGGCACAACCTGGGCCCCGTGTCCCAGCCAGTGCTAGGAACACAGCATTCTGGCCAGAGGCGCTGAGGACTCGCATCCCAAATGGAAGGTGCAAAGAACTAGGCTTCACGCTGGCCAAGCATCTTCTGATCCTTGCAGACTCTACAGCCACAAACAGTCAGAGGTCGCTGGCCTTGGGCTCTTCAGACAGTTAAAACGCTGTGCACATGAAATTGTCAGCAGATGCCCAATGTGACGGATCATGTTACCTCCTACTTGAACATTTTCAAGGCTTGGCTTTGCCTTTTAGGTAAAGCCGAAACCTCAGAAGGGCTGGGGTCCTCACCAGCCTCTGTGGCACCACATTCTCCCCAATGCTGTGCTGCAGCCCATGGCTTCCTTGGAGTCCTTCCAATGCACTGAACTTCCTGCCTCAGGGCCTTTGCACATGCTGCTCAGGCAGCCTACAATACTTCCCTACCCCACGCCCCATCCCCTAGTTAACCGATCAAAGCATATGTCCATATGTCCCAGCTTCTAATTCCATAAAGAGAGACAGAGGGGTGTGGTCATCTGATCCCTGCCAGCTGCTCTCCCCAGGTTCTGCACACCACTGCACAGAGACCTTGTCTATTTTGCCCCTCACTGTCTCCCCAGTACCTGGTTCTATGCTCAGGAAACAGCAGCTGTTGAAGGGAGAGATACATAACCCCAACAAATACAAAACTACTCTGACCCAAGGGTATCTTCCCTGGAAGCCATTAACAGGGTTCTCCCAGAACAATCTGAAACAATTTGAGGAACAATTTGAAAATGCCCCAGACCTCTCATTTAACAAATGAGGACACTGAGGCCCAGCTAAAAGCTTTGCCCAAGTTTCCACAGTTAAAAGTGGAGGAGCCTTGCCCCAGCTTCTGAAAACAGCCCAGGGACAGCTCATAGCACAGGGTGACCAGTTTGGGCACACTAAATATGTGCCAACCAGTTATTATAGGTGGGGTAGGGCCCACAGAAGCACTAATGAGTAGGGCCGCAGTCCTGAAAATATGATCTGGGGAACCATCACTAATGGCATGTTTGTGTGCTCTTGTTTTTAAATGTCTCAGTATTTCTAACATGGTAAACAATGATCGCTATAACTCCCATAAACAAGAACTCTTTGGGATCTTCAATAATTTTTAAGAGTCTAAAGAGGTCCTCCGATCGGAGTTCACAACTGCTATGTAGAGTGCTGGTGGGAGTGGTTGGTGCTCCCAGTTACAGCCCAGAGCCCTGTCAGCATCCCTCTGTCTGCCCTCTCACCCCCGCCCCCACCCCCAAGACGCCCTCAGCTTAATTTATGAGACATCTGAGAATGCAAAGACTACCTTTCAGGACTTTTCACCCCATCCTGCCTGTCAGCCTAACTGGAAATCCTGCACTAAGTGATTTATTATATATTCATTTTCTCACTTGCATCTCACAGCAACTCTAGAATGTATGTGTGATTATCTCATTGTACAGACAGGAAACAGCCTCAGAGAGGTTAAGTCACCTGACCAATGTCACCCAGCTAAGAAATGCCAGTCATGATTTGCATCTTGGTCTATCTTACTCCAAGGCCTGGGAGTCTCCCTCTGTGCCAAGAATAGAAGACAAAGCTGGGGGTTCAGGCTACCCAGCAGCAAACAGGGCAAATGGGGTGAGAAAGAAAACCACTCACGCAATTTCCAGGCTGTTTTGGTGACTACAGGGGTGGCCATCCTTCGGCTGGCTGGCACCTGAAGCTCCCACAAACCAGACTGTGCTTTCCTCGTGGGGTGGGGGTGGATCCCCCCCAGAGCCACCAATCAAGTTGGCAGGGAGTTCCCGCACATCCAGGCAGAGGGAATGCCTTGTGTCCTGGCTCTGGACGGACCTGTGGTTTTAAGTCATACACAGCAGCCACAGCAGCAGCCTGTGTGCACCTTTCAGGATCCTGGATCATGGAATGTCAGGCTTGAGCCATCTCAGCTCAACACTGGGCTGGAACACAAACAGAGATGATGGCTTGTTAGGAAACACTCAGTGGGAGCTCAGGGGGACCCTGATTTGAAGAACTGCAGCTGCAGCTCCCTGGATCACCAAGGCCACTTGATAAAAGACAAGACACCCACCAAAGCCACCAGAGCCAGGAGCTGCACTGCAAATTGGGTTTGAGAATCTAGAGAGGGAGCACCTCAAGCAAGGTGACTTGGAACAGGGAAAAAGAAGGTCCTCCCAGAGGCCAGGATGACGGGAAGAGGCTCTGTTCCAGGAGGCTGGCTGCCTGAAGTGCAGCAGCCGCAGTGGGGCGGGAAGACCACGTGTCTGCAGTTCCGATAGATTTCTGGGAGTCACTGTTTCGTCGGACCTATGGGAAGTGGGTGGAGTCAAGGGTAAGCTTAGGGCCCATGTGAGGAACCCCAGACAGGCACTGAAGTCTTCTCCGGGGAGAATCTCAGAGAGGGCCCTGAGGATCCAAACACCCCCCGCCCCAAGTTTGTGGCAAAGGAACTACTCCTGGTCCCTGCAATTCCCAAGGACAGCGCTGCAAACTAGGCCTCTGATCGGCATGAGTCAGTATGACCCCCTCAACTTTAAAAAGCCAAGCCTTTTCCCATGAACGCTTTCTGTCTCCTTTCTCCTGGGTTTCCCAGTCCTGCGCTCGAATCCTCCATTCACTCCCGCTTCTCCCTGCCTGCTGTGCTCCCCATTCGCGCACATCTTGTTTCCTGAGCTCCCTAAATTGGCCCCTGCCTCGCCAGACCCCCTTGACTCTCCTTTCCCCTCTGCTACCAGTATCCCCATTCATTCATCCCTGTTTCTTCTTGTCCCTATTCATCACTCATCCTCCTGCAGACCCCCAGCTCTGCTTCCGGCCTCCCGGTTTTTCCCCTCAGGCCTCCTCGGCGGTTCCGCCCCTCCCGAGGCTAAGACTGGTCCCTCGGCCTCCCCTGATCCTCCCACTTCTCTCAGCTTGCGGGGCAATGGCTCCAGCCTCCCCGCGCCCACAGCCCTCACTGCCGCAGGCCGGCCCGGCCCCGCTTGACTTGGCCCAGTCCAGGACCCCTCGCACCCTCGCACCCTCGCCCTCTCGCCCCGTTGCCCACTCCACCTGCATCTGCGGCTCCGGAATCCGAGGCTCTGCTCCAGAGGCGACCCCCACTTGCCTCCATCCCCTGCCCTGATTGGTCGCTGCTTGACAACCGACCCTCACAACAAAAACCTCCGTCTCAGAGCCCCGCCCTCCTCACTTCCCACACCAATCAGCCTCCGCGGGCGCTCCACCTCCCGCCAGGCTTGACCAATCAAGGCAGGCGCTTCTGCCGCTTTTCCCAAGTACTCGCCCTCTCTTCCTGAATTGGACTAATCACGAGGAAGGAGCATTCAAGAGCCGCCCCTCAGCCTCTAATGAAACAATGGTGGCTGCCATTTCCTTGGTCCCGCCTCCGCCTCAAACTTTCCCTTTCCTCCCCTTTTCTTTCTCCACCTCTTAGTTTGCGTTTGAAAAATTTGCGAGACGCCCTCCAATGGCGGCTGCACCAATCACTTTAGCAACCGTCCCAGCTCGACCAATCAGCGCTCGCATTATTGGAAAACCAATTCCTAGATAACCAATGGGAAGTGGATGTCGGAAGCAGAGTGAGGCGGCGGACCTTCCATCTTGTAGTGGGGCAAAGGAGTCCTTAGTCAGCATTTTTCCATGGTTCCTACTTCTTCTCTTTAGCTGTGGGCAGTGCTGCTTTGATCTGAGGATTTTACCCTGTTCTTTGGATCCAACACCAGCTTGAATCCCCCACAGGAGGCCGAGAGGGAAACGGAGACTGATTGCAGGTCGAATGAGGCGTGGAGCCCGGAAGTGCAGCTCCTACGGCCGAGGTCTCGGTGAATTGATGAGTGGGCCGCTCCTTTAAAGGGATCACCGACTAGGAATCCGAGAAAGGCCGACTTCATTTGTGATTCGGCGGTGGGGTGGGCTTAGAGAAGGTCCATAACCGACCAGAATTGGGGCCCCTCGCGTGGCCGCGCCTGGAGGCCGCTTAGGAGGGGCTCGGCCCCTCCCCCCCAGAAGCCTCTCCTCGGGCCAGGCCCTGTCTGCCGAGAGGGTACGGCCAGGCTTCCCAGGGCCTGGTGCCTAAAGACCCTCAACCACCCCCCACCACCACCACCCCCGGTTATTCTCTAGTCACTCACTGCAGCTCAGGGCCGCTTGATCTCACGTAATGCCCGTGACAACCCCAAAGGGTAGGGATTCTGTTCCCATTTACAGATGAGGAAACTGAGGGCCAGGCTAAGGTGCTTATAAAAGGCCACACAACCAAAAAGTAATGGTGGCAGGATTTGAACCCTTGTTCTTAAAGCAAAGTCTATGAGTTTCTCCAATGTACTGCACCCTGCCTGCCAGAGAGACGCAGAGAGGATCCACCCCTCACATTGTACTTTGGGAAGCTGGCTGGTGATGCATATGAGCACTATCAAAAGAGGACGAGATTAGCAAATCCGATCAAAACTGTCCACCCTGTATTTGCCCTCGGCTTTTTATATGAGAACTTCATAGACAAGACTTGAAAGAAGACTATAATGATGTATAACAGTTTAATGATATAATGACCCATATACAAACCATGTGGACTTCAACACTTGCTAACATTTTGCCATATTTGCTTTGTCCATGTGTTTTGTTGTGGGGGTTTTTTGGAGCTATTTGAAAATTGTAGACATCAAGACTTTTAACCCCGACACTAAATGCTACTGAGCGTGTAGCTCTTAAAAATAAGGCCCTTGTCCTACATAACCACTGTATCACCACACCTAAGAAAACTAATAGCGCTCCTCCAGTCCAGATGTTCCCAATCATCCCCAAAATGCGTTTTTTTCCTAACTAGGAAACAATCAAGATTCAGCACTCTTTTAGCTGATTCTATTTGTGTTCCCCCATTTTTTTTTATGACATTGATCTTTTGAAGAGATGGGCTATTACCTTGTAGACTGTCCCATGTTACGATTTTGTCTGACTTTTTCCTTCTAGTGTCCATCTACCTTGTTCCTTTTCCCCTGAATTTCTTGTTAAATGGAAGTTAAGCTTGATTATATTCATGATCAGCATTTAAAAACACTTCATATTGCAGTATAATCACACATACTCCAAATACTGTAAGTGGACAAGGTTGATGAATTTTCACAAACTGAACATCATCAGGTCAAGAAGATTACCAGCACCCCAGAGGTCCCCCTGGTACTCCCATTCACTAACCCTCATATCACAGGAGTGACCACTCCTGACTTCTAGACCGTTGATTAATTTTGCCTGTTTTTGTTCTTTATATAAATGGAATCATGCAGTGTGTACTTTTTTTTGTACCTGGATTCTTTTGATACTATTTTTAAGAAACCCAACCATGTCTTTCATGTTGTAGTTCGTTCATTTCCACCTAGCCTGAGCAGGGTTTCTCAACTTCGGTATTATTGACGTTTTAGGCTAGATAATTATTTGTTGTGGGGAGCTGTGTGCTATGCACTGTAGTATGTTTAACAGCGTCTTTGGCCTCTACACGCTAGATGCCAGTAGCACTCTCCCACACCGGTTATAACAAAAAATGTGTCAAAACCAAAATATATGTATTCATTCCACTCTTCAGTGGCATTTGGGTCATTTCCATTTTGGTGCTGGTGTTAAGAGTGCTGCTGTGAACATTCTAGTACATACCTTTTGGTGAAGATATATTTATATGCATTTCTGTTGAGTTGTTCATTACTCTTGTTGGATGGATGGATGGATGGATGGATGGATGGATGGATGGATGGATGATGGTGGGTGGGTGGGTAGAGTGGAACCTAGGAGTAGAATTGTATGGCCATAGTTTAGTTTTAGCAGATACTGCCAGTTTTCCAAAGCGGTTGTACTGATTTATACTTCCACTAGGAACATTTTGAGAGCTTTAGTTGCTCATCCTCACCAATACTTATTCATTTTATCCATACTAGTGGGTGTGTGATGACATTTCATTTCCCTGATGACTAGTGAAGCTGACATTTTCATGAATTCATTGGCCATTTTTTAAGCTACCATTTAATGAGTGCATTCTTTGTCCACTTGCACTCCTCTCTTTACAAGTCGTATTTAATACAACAATCCCATCCCACTTCACAGATGGCTAAACAGTGGCTGGGAAGAAGAGCTGGGCTGCAGGCACTGGCTTTCCAATGTTAAGCCTCCAAGTTTGGGGGTACACACCTTGGCTTTGCCATTCCCACTTTGTGAGCTGGGCCACCCTAAGCACGTTTTGATCTAACCAGTTGTGTGAAGGTGGCTGTGAGACCCTCTGCAGAGGTGCTGCAAAGGCTCAACATTCCAATGGAAAGAAGGACAGGACGTGAGTGAGGAAGATGGCCAAGGCGTGGGCAGGGGTTGCCCCAGGCTCTAGATGAAGAAGGGAAGGAAAGGCTGGTGCTGGAACTTGTGAAACATGAGGTGCAAATGGCAAATTAAAAGTGTTTATTTGCAGGGAAAGCATGAGAAGCAGGAACATACGGGGCGGCAGGGCAGGGCTGTGGCAGTAAGGTCAGGTCATTAGCTGGGTGCAGGGAGGTGTCTTTCTCTGGTGGCTTAGGCAGAGGCCCCAGGAGAGGCATCAAACGGCCAGAGGTGCAGGATGGGCATCAAACAAAGATTTTGAGGAACTCCACCAGGCGTGGGTCCTTGTGGAGCTTCTCCTCCAGAGCCAAGTACTTCAGTGGAGCCAGCTCCTTGTGTCTGAAATCAGAGGGAAGAGGGAGAGGCGCTGAGGTGTTCCAAAGCTGGTGTTCCAGCCTCCTAGTGGGCCGACCGCGGGCTCCCCTGCCCCCTCACCGATTGAGCCGCTGTTCCAGGATGCGGATGCGGAACATGGCCTGAGAGCAGTAACTCAGGTACAAGTCCTCATCCTCGGCCGTCAGCGTCACCTGGTTTTCCTGGTACCACTGCTGCTGCTTCTGCAGCTCCTGGGTTTCCTGTTGGCATGGGGAGAAGAGGGCAGGAGGGTTGATGAGGGCTCACACTCCCTGCCCCACCCCAGACTGTGGGCTTAGATCCCACTGGTCATCAGACAGTCAGTGGGGGTTGGCCCCACTATCCCCACCCACAGAAGCCAGAGGAGCAGAATGTCTTGGTGGGAACCACCTGGGTCATGTCTAGAGGGATACGTCCAGGAGGTCTGCAGCGTTCAAGACAGCCATGTGGCTCTGGACAAGTTACATTTTCAGAGCTTCCAATTTCTTGTCTGCCAAATGAGGGTCATTGTATACACCCCCCTGCCCCCCACAACCAACATCATAGAGTTCTTGGTGAAGATTAAATGAAACAGTGCATGGGAACTACACAGGGTAGTTCCAACCAACAGAAATGCATCAAGGACTAGGAGTTGTTACAATGCACCAC